GTCCTCATGTACAGTATAAGTGTTGTAGCAGGACGACCCATGAAGATAGAATGTGTAGAATAGGTCTTCAGCAACCCTTGCTTGCCATAAAAGGCGACTATGCTTCTCGTAAGAGGCGACAAACGGGATCAGGTAGTCAGACTTGCTGACTTGGTTGATGCATTTCATTGTATCCCAATTGCCTGGATCGATGCTCATGATGTCAATCACCAGATTATAGCTAGTATTGCTGGGTGTGGCATTAAACAACAAACAATACGTCAGTAGCTGGACAGGACAGGACAGGACAGGACAGGGGAGGGGAGACCATGAGCGTATCACTGACCCCACTTCCCAGTGCCATGGCTAACAGGCTTGTGTACAACATCCTCCTGTAGCAGTGCAGGACTGCATGTTATTCATCACTTATCCCAGTGTTGCCAGGGTAACCATCGTTGTGCAGTACAGGACTGCTTGCCCTTCATCACTTATCCCAGTGTTGCCAGGGTAACCATCGTTGTGCAGTACAGGACTGCTTGCCCTTCATCACTTGTCCCAGTGTTAACGTTGCCAGGGTAACCCATCCTGGTGCAGTTCAGGACTGCGCTCCATTCATCACTGTCCCAGTGTTGCCAGGGTAACCATCCTGGTGCTGTGCAAGACTGCGCACCATTCATCAATGTCCCAGTGTTGCCAGGGTAACCATCCTGTTGCAGTGCAGGACTGCTCGCCATTCATCACATGTCCCAGTGTTGCCAGGGTAACCATCCTGTTGCAGTGCAGGACTGCACACCTAACACCACTCATAAGTGGTCCAGTCACTGCTTATGATAGGACTGTCTATCGATATATATCAATGAAATCGATAATCGCTAACTAAATAACTAAATCAGTTATCGATGAATATTGGAGAAGTAACTTCAAGCAAATATGCAAGAAAATCCCGAAAGAAATCCACATATTTCACTCCACTGGTCAGCAGTGGCACATTTATGCAGGGAATACTTTGTGGAAATTTGAGATGTAACAAAAAACAGTTACTTTATTTCATCACAATGTAATCTGACAACAATTTCATATCTAAAATTGTTCATTTCTTCCCATCGACGATAATTTCCGATTATCGATCCTTTTAGCCAGCCCTAACTTATGAAGACCACAATTAAGTTTTTGTGATAACAGTGAGTTAACGTATTGTCACGGTCATGTTGTTGACTTTTCTGGATGTCTTCAGGCTGCTGACAACACGACAGAAGGTTTCTATTGGATTTGAACACCACGCACAAACCATGACCTGTTCCACAACAATTTCAAGGCACAATTTGGCGGTTGGGTTGCCTAGTGGTTAAAGTGTTTGCTTGCCACACCGAAGACCGGGGTTTGCTTCCCGACATGGGTACAATGTGTGAAGCCCATTTCTGGTGTCCCCCGCCATGATATTGCCGGAATAATGCCAACAGTGGCGTAAAAAACATATTCAAGACACTCACTCAAAGCACAATTACCGTATTCGACGTAATAAGCGCCCAGGGCGCTCTCAAAATTAGAAATAGGGGGCTCTTATTAGAATATTATTTGAGTTGAAAGATCGTAAATTTCGTGGTTTATGCCGACAGCCTGAAATGTTTATATACGACAGATATATTTTTCCAGAATTTAATTGCCCATAATTAAGGGTGCATATAACATACGAGTGCGTATTATACACAAATAAATAAGTCTTGTGTACATTAATCAATTGGAAGGGGTGCTAATTGAGATTGTTCACTAGCCAATATATTAACAAATATCGCTGTGGGCGCTTATTAGAGCGGGGCGCTTATTACGAAGAATACGGTAATATCAATGTCATAGCTCTTTGTGGAACCTGTTCCTTGGGTGTTGGCTCTATTGCTTGTCATCATCATGATCATCCACTAACTGTGCCCCACCTTGCCTCTGTGTTTTTGTAATGGCCCATATTGCATGTTTTGTGTACACGTGAGTAAACAGGTTGTTGTATTGTTGTGAAGCACCTTCGCTTTTATGCAGTTTTGTTATATTTCTTAAGACTTTTGGCTTTTATTTTTCACATTGTCAGGGATGTCATCATAGGTCAAATTTTTAATGCTGATACTGTATAGATACAAAGTTATGATTATCAATACTAAGTTAATAATTTACTGCCACATAGAAGCGTTTACATTTATTAGGATTCCCATGGTTGAGATGGACATTAAGAAGGCAGAATTTGAATATTTCTTTAACCGTTTTTCTTTCAGCTTTATTGAGGTCTACGTAGGTCATTTATTCTATCCACAAACAGAATAATTAAATCTGAAATTAATTGATATATCAAAACCATGCTTTCCTAACCTGCTGTTTCCTTCTGGTGACTGAGAAACGGCAGCAGTGCTGACATTGAGTGCTACCACGGTTACACAATATTTTCACAAGCTGACATTTTTGAGCTACAGATGTTAAGTAAACAGTTGGAGTCTTTGTGATGATAATGTTCCATATGAGAGATTGGATTGATACCAGAGAACAGGGATATGTCAACCACACAACATGTCTCCCAGGTTCTGTATTTATGTGTCTATGATTAGAGAAGTAACATGCACAGGGCCTAGCATTCAGCCTGTATAGAGCAGTGACGTGCACAGTGCCTAGCATTCAGCCTGTATAGAGCAGTGACGTGCACAGTGCCTAGCATTCAGCCAGTATAGAGCAGTGACGTGCACAGTGCCTAGCATTCAGCTTGTATAGAGCAGTGACGTGCACAGGGCCTAGCATTCAGCCAGTATAGAGCAGTGACAGGCACAGGGCCTAGCATTCAGCCTGTATAGAGCAGTGACAGGCACAGGGCCTAGCATTCAGCCTGTATAGAGCAGTGACAGGCACAGGGCCTAGCATTCAGCCTGTATAGAGCAGTGACAGGCACAGGGCCTAGCATTCAGCCTGTATAGAGCAGTGACAGGCACAGGGCCTAGCATTCAGCCAGTATAGAGCAGTGACAGGCACAGGGCCTAGCATTCAGCCTGTATAGAGCAGTGACAGGCACAGTGCCTAGCATTCAGCCAGTATAGAGCAGTGACAGGCACAGGGCCTAGCATTCAGCCTGTATAGAGCAGTGACGTGCACAGTGCCTAGCATTCAGCCTGTATAGAGCAGTGACGTGCACAGTGCCTAGCATTCAGCCTGTATAGAGCAGTGACGTGCACAGTGCCTAGCATTCAGCCTGTATAGAGCAGTGACGTGCACAGGGCCTAGCATTCAGGCCAGTATAGAGCAGTGACGTGCACAGTGCCTAGCATTCAGCCTGTATAGAGCAGTGACGTGCACAGTGCCTAGCATTCAGCCAGTATAGAGCAGTGACGTGCACAGGGCCTAGCATTCAGCCAGTATAGCGCAGTGACGTGCACAGGGCCTAGCATTCAGCCTGTATAGAGCAGTGACAGGCACAGGGCCTAGCATTCAGCCTGTATAGAGCAGTGACGTGCACAGTGCCTAGCATTCAGCCAGTATAGAGCAGTGACGTGCACAGGGCCTAGCATTCAGCCAGTATAGAGCAGTGACAGGCACAGAGCCTAGCATTCAGCCAGTATAGAGCAGTGACGTGCACAGTGCCTAGCATTCAGCCAGTATAGAGCAGTGACGTGCACAGGGCCTAGCATTCAGCCAGTATAGAGCAGTGACAGGCACAGAGCCTAGCATTCAGCCAGTATAGAGCAGTGACGTGCACAGTGCCTAGCATTCAGCCAGTATAGAGCAGTGACAGGCACAGTGCCTAGCATTCAGCCAGTATAGAGCAGTGACAGGCACAGTGCCTAGCATTCAACCAGTAAAGAGCAGTGACGTGCACAGTGCCTAGCATTCAGCCTGTATAGAGCAGTGACGTGCACAGAGCCTAGCATTCAGCCAGTATAGAGCAGTGACGTGCACAGTGCCTAGCATTCAGCCAGTATAGAGCAGTGACGTGCACAGTGCCTAGCATTCAGCCAGTATAGAGCAGTGATGTGCACAGAGCCTAGCATTCAGCCAGTATAGAGCAGTGATGTGCACAGGGCCTAGCATTCAGCCTGTATAGAGCAGTGATGTGCACAGGGCCTAGCATTCAGCCAGTATAGAGCAGTGACGTGCACAGGGCCTAGCATTCAGCCTGTATAGAGCAGTGACGTGCACAGAGCCTAGCATTCAGCCAGTATAGAGCAGTGATGTGCACAGAGCCTAGCATTCAGCCAGTATAGAGCAGTGATGTGCACAGGGCCTAGCATTCAGCCAGTATAGAGCAGTGACGTGCACAGTGCCTAGCATTCAGCCAGTATAGAGCAGTGACGTGCACAGTGCCTAGCATTCAACCTGATAGAGCAGTGATGTGCACAGAGCCTAGCATTCAACCTGTATAGAGCAGTGACGTGCACAGAGCCTAGCATTCAACCTGTATAGAGCAGTGACGTGCACAGAGCCTAGCATTCAGCCAGTATAGAGCAGTGACGTGCACAGTGCCTAGCATTCAACCTGTATAGAGCAGTGATGTGCACAGAGCCTAGCATTCAGCCAGTATAGAGCAGTGACGTGCACAGTGCCTAGCATTCAGCCAGTATAGAGCAGTGACGTGCACAGTGCCTAGCATTCAGCCAGTATAGAGCAGTGACGTGCACAGTGCCTAGCATTCAACCTGTATAGAGCAGTGATGTGCACAGAGCCTAGCATTCAGCCAGTATAGAGCAGTGATGTGCACAGTGCCTAGCATTCAACCTGTATAGAGCAGTGATGTGCACAGAGCCTAGCATTTAACCTGTATAGAGCAGTGACAGGCACAGTGCCTAGCATTCAACCAGTATAGAGCAGTAACATGCTCTTGGGCAACCTTTTGGGGGGGGTGGGGTTGAAGAAGTCTGCTAGCAACTTGAAGCAGAAATAGTGGGCTTGTGCATGACAAAGCTGACATTGACCACACGTTCATGATTCAAGATATTGGTTGTAACTTTCTATGCCATATTTTAAGGTAGATATGTGACTCTGGAATTATGTTTCAGGTAGTGCAGTAGAGAGGGACCAATGCTGAGTTAACAATGGGTCCAGGTCTGCCTCCTGCCCTTGTGCTGGTGGTCCTATCGACAGGACTGGCCATAGCAACAGAGAGTCTTTCTAACCCCAGTAAGTGCAAACACACCCCACACCTTTATCTCCAACAACAGGAATCAAGCTGGATGTGTTCATTTTAATTGGCTATTATTGATATTGTAGTTTTGTTGTTGGTTTCATTATATGGTAGGTTGATGTCATTATTGTTTAATACTATTTTGATTTTCATATTGATGTCATAGTTTGTTGTCTATATAATTATTGTGTCATTGAAGTTGTAGTTTCGTTGATATAGGTTTTATCATTTTAGTTTTGATATATATGTTCACATGGTTTTATTGATAACATAGGTTTTTTATATACTTTTACTGCTATTATAGTATTATTGATATCATAGTTACATTCCAGGTATGATCCTGGCATTAATACTTCAGTCTCACAACACACATGCATGGCTAGTGTGAGGTTAGACAGTGTTTGACTCTAGTGCTTATGTGAGTTGTAGTTTTCTCCCCTTATGTAGTATTGTCACATACACATCCGGTCTTGAATGTAGTGGCATCTAGTGCCTGGTCACCCCAGCATTAACCAGTACTTCACATCCTCTCTATGTATGTACTTGTGTACTTATTTTCATTGTCATTATTATTGTTTCAGACTCCAAGCCGCCCAGTGTTGCCAGAGCTACTCACAGGAATGTTTATTACTTAGCTGAAGAGAAAATAGAGTTGGGTTGTATAGCTGAAGGATCCCCCGAGCCTGTGTAAGTACCGGTAGGCAGAGGAAGCTGGAGGGAGTGGGGAGTGGGGCGTGGGGCGTCAGTGACGAAGAGATCCCAGAGGCCCATGCTTACTGCACTAGAGGAAGCTGGAGGGAGTGGGGACTGGGGCGTCAGTGAAGAAGAGATCCCAGAGGCCCATGCTTACTGCACTAGCCAGTTCTAAAATTGGGTGGTCAGACTTTCAGACTCAATGTTTTGGATGCATTTTTATCATTTCAAAATGGCAAGGATCTTTGCTAATGCTTTTAGACACTGGTTTTTCTGGTCCAAACTTCATTATTTTCATGGTGCTGTGTTCGAGCTGAAATATTCGCTGATTGCTGGATAAAATAACTTTCACTTATACTCTTCTCTGAAAGGATACAATTACAGCCTCAGAGTATATAAAAGACTGTTTTATTAATTGAATTCTGTTCTCAGGTTAATGTAGAATAGCTTTGTGAGACTGCTATCTACTTTAGTATAGGATCTGGTACAGGGTCTCACAAGAGTTGTCAGATCCAACATCAGATCTCCACTTGGAGCTGTTGTCAGATCCAATGTCATATGTCCACCTATAGGGGACACCATCATCCAAACATTCCTCCAATAGCTGTAGTGGTAATAGAGATAAAACAAGTGAGTTGATATTCAATTTCTCGGCAATATTTCGGCCATATAGCAATGCATGTTCTGAAAGAAGTATATCATCTTCCTAAGGCAAGCATGCCCTCTAGCCTATATCAAAGCCTAGTTTCTACCCTTGCCACATCACGGCCACTTTTCTTGGCTTGACCCTGGCGCCACCTTGCGTAGATCACGAGTTGTGCCCCTTGTAATGAAAACGCTATATCCAATCAGATCGCTGTTCTTATCTCGTATAGCTTCACAAAGATAGCAACTACCATAGGCGACGACCTAGTCAATCAGATAACGAAAAGACATGTTCGTGTCAACAAAGACAGGCAGCGGTAAATCACGTTCATACGAAGGTGTACGAGTTGTGAATGTAGATTTTGTTAAATTTAGCAAAAGAAAGTGGGCTTGATCTAGCAAGGGTGGAAAAAAGCAAGTGGGCGCTCTTGGCTTGGGAAGTTTGAAGTATATGGACATGTGTTTAGGTGACCAGTAAGGTCTGTCCAGTACTGGCACTCTGATAAGAACTTTTGCTCAAACTGTGCCCAATATGCAGTGTAGATTATGATTTTGTTTCATAATATATAACATGCACTACATGTTATACATTGTTTTCAGATATTACTGGCTGAGAAATGGCATTCGAATGAACCTGAGCATTCCCGAGAACAAGGCACGGATGACCCTTCAGTCTAACGTGGGTACTTTGGTCATTGACCAGGCTCGGACCACTGATGAGGGAGTGTATCAGTGTGTGGCTGAAAATATTTTCGGCAAATCTATTTCAATTAAAAGAAACGTGCAGTTAGCAAGAATGGACCCTTTCCCCACCACAGTACCTCAAAAGAAGAGGGCATTGTTGGGGCGATCAGAAATTCTTACGTGTAGACCTCCAAATAGCATTCCAAGAGCAAAAATCAGCTGGATTATTGTATCCGAAGGTGACCTTGACTACCGGGATGAGGATTCGGAAGAGGGGTTTAACTTTGTGAACTTGGATAATCGGATTACGATGGATTGGAAAGGTAATCTGTATATAACCAATGTGAAACCGGAGGATGGCCAGGAAGGGGCCAAGTATGTGTGCATGGCCAACAACAAGATTGTACGATCATTCAATCAAGGGGAGGATAAAATTCTGGAACCTTTCGGAAGTAAGTATTGCTCCTTCCCTCCAGGATTATATTGCTGCATGTCATGTATGTAGTCAGTATGGAAAAAGTAGCCAAAATGATGTCATTTAAAAAAGGGGATCTGATTATGATTTGATAAAAAAAGTGTTCAAGAAGTTTAGAGAGATTAATTCATGTGCAGGACGACACCAGTGAGTATATGTAAGTCATCCATAGGCATTATCACAGCGCTCACAACTCGAACCAATACAATACAATCCTTCAATGGCATACGTATGTAAAAATTAGGTTGGTTCATATGCCTATGCCCCATGATTTGTTAGGCATGAGGTTTTGACCCAAAGAAAGGGAAGGTTGACATCTGTGCATACATGTGGAAACACTTAATGCCAGGGTTGCTGTGTTAACAGGTTTATATGTTCCTTTGAAAATGCACATTTGTTCTATGTACGACTAGATCAGCAATGTGAGAGAGCTATATGTTATGGCGCAACATTTGGGAAAGAGTTTTAGTAAATGAAGTCTCAAGAGTTCGGCCGAATGATTAGGGGCCTCGTCATCTAGGATGCTGCAATTTGCTGTGCAGAATTGTATCTCTTAGACATGCCAGGCATCGTGGGTTTGAATTTTGGTTTGCCCTGATTATGTTTCTTGGTTTGTCTACACCATATCGGTAATCGTGTATTTCACCATAGTGGTTAAGGTCTGAGTCCTGCATCACTTGGGGCTTTCCTTGTACATCAAACTGACACGCTGTGATACCATAGAATCACACATTCTTATCACTCATCATTGGCACTCTGAAGTCATGCCCCTCACTTTTAAATGACATTTTGTCTGTTTATGACATGTCTAATGAAATATCCTAGTTATATGGATAAGTAACAGTTGATGTTTGGGGTTACTTTTAAAAATAAGTGGAGGGAAACAAATTTTGATGTTCTCTGTCATCAATAAAACTTTCATGTATTTTTTGTAAGGATGAAGTTATTTAAAAAGAAACTGGATAATGGTAATGTAATTGTTACTTACATGTGTGGACCAGGCACTTGACTGGTAACTGGTGTGCTGAGGAAGGAGGAATGCCACGAAAGAACTGACATCTTGGATACAATTTTGTGATTCTGTGATGTGCTGATAGTCTATCCTGTCTCAGTGTCTATAAGATGCCACACAAGGGTTTCAAGTGGCCATTTGTAGCAGTTGTTTGTTTGTTTGTTTGTTTTTGAACGCTGCTCCCAGCAGTATTGTAGCTTGTTCATAATAAAAATCTGGACTAGACAATCCAATGCTTGATTTACTCACCGCAAAGACATGATGGAATAGATTAATAGGTGGTTGTCATGAAAGACCAACCTTCAAAGACATTCCCCATCCCCTTTTTGATGAAAATAAACATACAATCAACATGATTACTTGTAAAACTTAACTTTAATCCACCAAAGCATTTTAATCTATGATAGTTCTTGATCATATATATGCATGATTGTGCAACAGATTTGTTTTTAGTATGTAATAGAGATACATATTTAAACTTGTTACTTTTGCTGAAACCGTTCACATTTGAATATTTGTGTACTGTTATCTGTTGCCTGCTTTAAATATGATATTTTATGTGTGCTTCACCAGATGACTTGCTACCATGTGGGAAGTCATGCTGTGATAGCTCGCAAATACTGTCAATGCTGAGCTTTTATTTTGTCATTTACAGAGGACGGTGAAAAGGGTAAACTTCTACAAATCTTGTGCCAAATTAGGATCAGTGACTCTCTTAATCCAGCGTAGCTCTTCCTCTAAAATGCTCTACTATAATACTAATTCTCTTCTTCTCAGTCCAATGTTTCTGTAGTGCTGTGACCTGTAACTTTGTAAAGGACATGCATTAACCAGACTCTCTAAACCCCATATAGAAACAAGAAGTCGTTTTCTTAGATGTTTTCTGTTTCCTGAAGACCTGTGATTGAGTAGAAATAGTATTTACAAATCTGTACACTTGTATGTACACATGAAGGCATTAGCGATCAGCTGCACCGAAGCGGCATGCTTAGGGTTATTAATATTTTAAACATATTTAGTAAAAGCTGCAATTTAAAATAGCATGATATTGGAATATATTATTCCTGATAAAAAAATAGTTTCAGATACAATTTTTCCCTATCCTTGTATCAAAATCCTTTAAAGTTATATCATTGGGTAAGTTTTAACTGAATCACCTGTAGATTCCAATAAAACATGCGTACAGCTGATTGCTGTTTCCGGCTTAGTTTATCAGAAAATACAGAGGGTAACCTTCATCTCTGCATGTAATACAATGCCTAGCAGAACAATAAATACAATTTAAACGGTAAATCAACATGTCAAATTTTTACTGACCAAGTTTCTTATCACCCATTTGTTTACCGGAATTCGCTGAAGGGGTACAGTGTAATTTTTTTCTGCACATGATATTCAAAAAGAATTTCCCCTAATGCTGAATCCACAAGAGGGGGGTGCGCATTATACTTGGGTGTGCACTATACTCAAGAAAATATGGTACTTTATAACAATTCAGTTTTTATGGATGCGTTGGGTATGTCTCAACACTCAAGGAAATAAGTTTTTAATCCCATGCTAACATTTGGTACTGCTCCATAGATGGTATTGTTGTAGCTTGTGTGTTTATGTACTTCAGACATTGTACCTGGGATGTATCTATTGGGAGATAATAAGTGGGGTTCGCTCCCCTTGATCATATAGCCAGACACTGGAAAGTTAGGACACGCCATTATATCCGCAAACTGTCGAAAAGGACCAAATTGTACAGTTTGTTGACAATAATACAATACTGCATTGATGCACAATTATATGTATAATATAAATGTATCATGTATTCTCTGTGTTAACAATTGACATTCTTTAGCTATTGTATTTAAATATTACTGGTATTTTGGGGGTCCCTAGATTAGGTCAAAATGGTTGTTCTAAACAAAACACTAATCCTTATTTGTCTAACATGTATAAGGTTCTACGTGCTTACTTGTCATGAACACACACACACACACACACACACACACACACACACACACACACACACACACACACAAGTTGGCTAAACGTTGTATTGTGAAACACTGAAATCCATGAATTTCAAAGAAAAATTTACAAGCACTAAATTTCCATTGACCGTCTGCTACAAATGCGACTGCACCTTGTATCGGAAGTTGCTGTAGTGGGTGGAAATAGAAAATAGGTGGTAAAATTATCAACAGATTTTCAGAATCACATGGATGTATTGTACTTGAGATGATTCAGTGCTGTCGAAAGTGGAATCTTAAGTCCAGTATGGTAACAAAACAGCAACAAGTGTTTTCATCTATAAAGTATAGCGTGACATCTTTGACCCACAGTGGCTACTCTGTCTCATGATGCATCTTACATATGCATGTGTGTCATGATGCATCTTACATATGCATGTGTGTCATGATGCATCTTACATATGCATGTGTGTCATGATGCATCTTACATATGCATGTGTCTCATGATGCATCTTACATATGCATGTGTGTCATGATGCATCTTACATATGCATGTGTGTCATGATGCATCTTACATATGTGTATCAGTGTATACATACATGTACTATAATTATGTACACCTGAATGTTACAATGTGTGCTGTCTGTCATAACATTTGTGAAGTTCTCTCTAAATGTGGCAAGCCAGTATAGTCTAACCCAATTGTTTCTTTACATTACAATGGGTGAAGACCTTTTCTGGTGTCCCCCTTCATAATATTGCTGGAATTGTGCTGAATCCATACTCACTCGCTCACTCCCTCTTTACATTACATACGTACCCCATGAAGATCCGGGGTAGAATAGGTCTTCAGCAACTCATGCTTGTTGTAAAAGGCGACTTTGCTTGTCATAAGAGGCAACTAACTGGATCAGGTGGTCAGGCTCACTGACTTGGTTGATGCATGTCATCGATCCCAATTGTGTGGATCGATGCTAATCACTGGATTGTCTGGTCCAGACTCGATTCTTTACAGACTGCCGTCATATAGCTGGAATATTGCTGAGTGCGGCGTTAAACAAACAAAAACAAAACATTACATATATTTACACGGGTTTTTTTTTACTTGGACACTGGTTCTAAAATTTGTATTTCAGTCGAATTAGACAAGCAATGGCAAAAATATGATCAAGAGATGTTTATGATCAGTTAATTTCATGCTCATCTCACTTAATAGTATGAAGTTCAATTGATATGCCCCACTTCCGGTCTCGTTGCCATGGTTTGCTTTGTTAAAAGTGTAGTTTAATTGACGGATGCATTTGTCAGTTGATAGAGTAGGTGGTTGATGATACACATACCTCCAATTTTCACTGGTGCTAAGAAGGGTAACTCAGGGGCTTCTGTCGGATAGATCATGAGTAAGACCCAGGTACCCACATGACTACCAGGCGTAGTTTTAACAACAAATTTGTTTGTAGCCAGCTTGCTCCTTTTTAAAGTTACTGACCCTTCTCCAAACTAACTCGCCTACAACTAAATGGTTGAGGCTGTGAAGTGGTCAAACTTGAGGTCGTGTAGTCACCTAGCAGGGCTCGGAAAAATTTGAACTCCATACGCCTAAAATGTTCTTTCCTGCACTCAAGGTTAAATCTTACACAACATTTCAAAATGGTGGCTGGTTGTCACTCTGCCGAGCCGATCCAAGCTTGGCCAAAATGGCCATCTACTTTAGGTTTCAGCAAGCCCTTTGTCATGTGAACTGGCCACAGGCCAACAGGCCAGCAGTTAACCTCAGCAGTTAACCCGACCACTGGGTTACTACCCTGGCCAGTGGTTAGTTACATGATAGTTTAGTTTGATGACAATAACAATAAGACTCCATGGTTCCAGTAGAAATTGCTTATGTTCTCATTTCTTTCTGACTATGCACGCATTCCTTCCGACCTTTATATAAATGAGTAAAGATAAACATCTTCTCTGAAACTGCTGGACCAGTCAAGCAGAACCTTTGCATGCTTGTTTCTTTTGATGATGCCAGTATATTTGTTCATCATATTCTGATACAGTATGCAGTATGCATTGCTCACAGTTTAGAGTTTATTTTTGTGAAAGGTGTCAATTGAAAGTTAATGTTTTGTGAAACAACTCGAAAAAATGCAGAGGACTGAAAACTTATTTTGACTCTACTCGCCCTACTTTTTTATGCTTATCACTTTCTAGGGGCAACAGAGAAGAAGGAAATTTAGATTTGTTTGTTTCCACTCATTTACCATGTTTACAGGGGATTGAGAAATAATTCTCTTGTATTTTTATTGTTTAGGTCAGCAATAATAAAATATTTTTAAAAAATCATATTTTTAGTAGTGGAATGTAATCAAAATCCAGGAGAAGTGTATAATCCAACTTATTAACTGTTTAAATGCAAGGAATACCAAAAAGAAGCAGGTGAGCAAAAGGCTAGGTGCAGCATATGCTGACAACGGAAGTGAGTCGTGTGTCAGATTGAACACTCTTTCATCACCGACCCCGAGTGTTTACTTTTTTTACCAAACCTAAGGTACAGTGTTTTATCTGTCTTCTATTCTGAAACAAACAATCTGAAACACCATTTAGCAACAATTTTATGTTTACAGCACACTTTCTATGACCCCTAGGAAACGGACATAAAATATCCCTTGCTGGCATACATGTACTTGTAATACAGATTCTTTAAGCATTGTGGATTATGAGTGCCTCTTTAGCCTAGGGGCTCGCCCACTCACTAGGCTACATATACAGAGGTTGCAGGTTCCATCACACTGAAATTGGAGTGACATTTGTCATTTGTCAACACTGCCCCCACAAGAAACACACACCACGCACATGTTCAGATGGAGGGACTGTTATATGGAGTATGTTCAAATGCAAAGTATATCTGTGGGACAGAGGCACTTTGTGTAAAATATCCCTGGGTGAGGGGGACTTTCTGTCCCTGCTAAGAATCATAAGATGATACCATTAGAGGTTTAAGGGCCAGTATATAAAATACCATGAATGTTTAAGGTTTCTGTATGGGTGTCACATTACCCGTGGAGTTTAAAACCTACAGTTGATTGTGAAGGTATTTAACAGGGGTTGCAAGGTTGTTTACTAGTACAGTGGGATGTCCTGTGTTTATATTTTGTTTAATGAGTCTCCAAATGTTAGAAACTTGTTTATTCACTACAGTCCTATCTTTAGGGATCCATTCTGTACTCATGTGAACCCTAACCTGCTGTGATATACAGCTGTCAACCCAGAAATGTTTCAGTGAGTGAAATTGGGTTTAACCACTTTTGGGCATCGTTCCACAAAGCAATCTTAGCACTACAATTATCGTAAGCCAGTGTTTAAGTGTGGGAGTTACAATCTGGTTGAAAGTATGATATAGATTTGTTTTAACAGAGAGATGTGGAAGAAAGATATAGTAATTTGTTATAGGTGTGTGAGATTTCCTACAGAGTTGATAGGGATGTGTTGTTCAGCCAGCCAACTTGCTATTCAGGTCAAAATTTCCTTTAATATACTAATTAATATAAAATAACTGTGCTTCATAAATTAGTTCTTTGGACTAGTGACTAAATGTGCAGATTAAAATGTATGTGCCCAATAAATCCAGGCTTGAGTCAATGCAGACTACCATATTTTCTCGAGTATAGTGCACACTTTTTTTTAAAAAAACACAACTGTGTAGCAGGAGGTGCGCATTATGTCTATGTCAGCACGTAATTCTCGCGATCACGCGCACAGGAGCCTAGACGGTGACTGGTCAGACTGGTTCCATGTAAAAAATAATACCCGGCAATAGCAAACAGCTGCTTCGCTTGGGTTATTATTATTTTAAATATATTTAGTAAAAGCTGCATCTAAATTAACAAGATATTGGAATATATTATTCCTGATAAAAAAATAGTTTCAGATACAATTTTTGCCGATCCTTGCATTAAAATCCTGTAAAGTTATATCATTGGGTGTGTCTTGACCGAATCACCGGTAGATTCCAAGAAAACGTGTGTACAGCTGATTGCTGTTTCCGGCTTAGTTTACGAGAAAATACACAAGGTAATCTTAATCCCTGGATATAAAACAATGCCTAGCAGAACAAAAAATACAATTTAAACGGTAAATCAACATGTCCGGTGATTTTAAATCTCAAATTTCGAATTTGTACTGACAAAGTTCCTCATCACCCATTCGTTAGCCGGACTTCGCTGAAGGGGTACGGTGTAAATTTTTTCTGCACTTGGTATTCCAATTATTATTTTTTTCAAAAATACTGAATCCGCTAGAGGGTGGTGCGCATTATACACGGGTGCGCACTATACTCAAGAAAATACGGTAACAGTTATATATGTAACCCAATACAGACTTAATTGTCACTTGAAGCCATTAACATCACACAGCTTCAGTGTTGAGAAAAACACAATTTGACCTCATCCATTGTTCATGACATCTCAGATAATTACATTGCATCATTTGAACAATAGGCTGCCTTCTGTGAAGTTTCTTCATTTTCTCTCTTAATATTACAAAGAGTAAAATATAGAATAACCAACTTAAAACTCTAGATTAACACCATTCATTCACTCGGGACAGTTCACTGTAATTTGGCGTAGCTCACTGCTTATTCTGTAAATATCCCATTCAAGCTTGAATAACATTATGCTAAAAGTGGCGTAATTTTCTTCTTTGATAATGAACCAATTGCTAGGCTGCTGTAAGTATACAGTTGCGTGCTGGCATAGACATATTGCAAAGCAGCTTAAATTTGTCTTTGGTTTCAACTGACAGAACATAAAGCACTTCTTGGATGTCACCTTTGTGAGAGTTGTCCAAAGCAGGAAAGAATATTTGCAGTGCCTTGTTAACAGAGCAGATGTCAGGTGATGGGTTTAGTGTGACCTATGAATGTTCACATCTCTTCTTAGTCCAAGCAGTTGTAATGAAGAATTGAACAGCAGTTTATTGGTTACAACCCAGTCTTCATAAAATATTTCATAATCATGCTAATTTACTTTAGTAGGTATGTCTTTGCCCAAAAGGCTAATCCAGTAAGCAGGTCTGTTGCTTCAGATTCTAGATCCTGCTAACTGGTTTGAGACATGTTTCATACAGACGTGTCGTGAGAGATGTTGTCATACTCTGTTTTCTTCCAGAGCCAGCTGATGAGCCTGTGTCTCTTCTGTGGCATTCAACCTTAGATGTGCTTGGACTCGTGGGCAAAACAGCCAAGTTCAAGTGTATTTTCGCAGGAAAGTAAGTGTTGCATGTGACTCCACTATTGCTGGCCGAGTTTACTTGTGAATGCTGTAACAATGCTCGTCCAGCTCATGACACTGCCCAGTGCAGTAACAGCAGATGTGATGAATACTTAAGACTGCTCATTACATTGAGAAGATGGCTTATATCCACACTTGGAGCCTTGACAGTCTTCATCCATGGACCTACTGCATTGTCATATACTGTATTTTCAGCTATTGAGATATGACACATCAAGCAAGAAAAGTAAACTTTACTCAGTTAACTGCTTATACCCCAATCTATATCATTATATTCTAAGTTGACAGTCTTGTTGTAGTTATGGGAGAATCGTCTTTTTATTTTTCTAAGACCACTTGCATTAATGTCATTATGAAGCTTAGGCTTGGTGTTGGTGCTCACGTAAACTCATGATTTTTCTCAGTATGTGTCTTTTGGTATGTTTGTGTGGTAAGAAGTGCTATGGCAGTGTTGCTGGTACGTCATTTTATCAAATCAAGTACTGGTATGTTTTTTCCTCATAAGAATATGTTGACTGTGTTGTCTGCTTTTTTGTCACGGCATCAAGTCAAGTCATGTCACCCAGTGTAATGATGTTGGAATTATACAATTATGTTGTGTTATTTATTGACTTAAGCCCAAAGTCAATAGAACTACCCCAGTGAAAGCAAAAAGTCCATTAATCTGACTGATGTATGTTTTCCGTCTTATGCCCTTGGTTAAAATGAGACAATGGCTGCAGGACTACTAAGAAGATCCACTGTCAGTCCCTTACTGTAACGTCGTGTCAAGCTTTTGTGGACTGGATCTAACACATCAGCAATTTTCTCAACTCCCATTCATTGACTCTCGATACTTGGTTTGTTTGTGAAGCTCACGGAATGTCATGTCAACTGAGAATCTATAGGTGACAGTCATAAACTGGATGTGTCATCTTTCAGCCCTCAGGTAAAAATTGTATGGAAGAGAAAAGGAAAGGAGCTGACGTCTCGAATGTCACAGAGCAGGGATATGTTTGACTTAGAAATCAAGAGAGTCAAGTATGAAGATGCTGGACTTTATGTGTGTGAAGGAAGCAACACGGCCCATGACAAAGTCATCAAAAAGACCTTCAATCTCACAGTAGAGGGTGAGTTGACCATTAACACTGTCCACACTTGAAACACATACTACACGCATTGACATGAAACCCACACCACATACATTGAGAAGGAGGGGAGTTGACAGTCTTACCTGCCCACACATGAAACCCACACCACACACACCCAGATGGAGGGGAGTTGACAGTCTTACCTGCCCACACATGAAACCCACACCACACACACCCAGATGGAGGGGAGTTGACAGTCTTACCTGCCCACACATGAAACCCGCATCACACACACCCAGATGGAGGGGAGTTGACAGTCTTACCTGCCCACACATGAAACCCGCACCACACACACCACACACATTCAGATGGAAGGGAGTTGACAGTCTTACACATCCATGTTCATAGACCAAAGTTCAAAAAGGTTTATTTTGGAACCATAAAGATTCATTGTCTTGGACAAAATGTGAAATTGGCAAGTTCCCCCTGAACATCAACACTAGGTTTATGAAAAGGGAAAGTCTTGAGTGAATTGATAGTAGATTGGAAGATGAAACACTTAATAATCCTGAATTCCACTTTGCAGCCAGACCCAAATGGGTGTTGGAGCCTAAAGACCTGACTGTGGGTGTGGAAGAGAATGCAGCGTTTTCCTGTGAAGCTAAAGGAAGCCCTCAGCCCACAGTCCAGTGGTACATCAATGGGAACCAAATTGAACGTGAGTATTCTGGACATACTGAAACATGCCAAAACCTTTTTCTAAATAGTCTGATTATTTTGTGTAGGATGGAATGCAGTATATTGTTTTTTAAGCTTCACAATCCATGACATTGCATAGGAATCCTTCTTGTTTATCAGAGGGTTGTTCAGTTCATTTGCAACAAGGTGTTTACTTTCTCCTTGAGTTAGTGATTAAAATGTAGCAGTGCATCTGCAGTATTTCAGCCATATAGTGATGAGAACAAGTTGCTATATATATATATACAATTGTGTCATGAATACAAAACCATATTTATAAACAAATTTGTCAAACATATTTGGGCATAACAATAAAATTTACATGTTTAAAACATGGGCTGTTGGTCTCTTTGAGTAAAACATTACAAGCATGAACCATGAACATTTCTCACAGCAACATCTCTTTCAAAAAAAAAATGTTTAAATTTAAATTGTGACAATAACAATTGAATCATTTTGACACAGAATCTTTCAGGGCTGATGATGATGATGATGTTTATGTGATAACTGTTTGGCATGTTTCCTTTCATGGGATTGTTGTTTTCCAGTGGAACCCCCTAACCCAAGAAGAAGGCTGCAAGGAAATAAACTTATCTTTACAAACCTGTCCAAGTCTGACTCGCAGGTCATTCAGTGCAATGCCACCAATAAGAATGGCTTTATGTGGGCTGATGTCTTCCTGCATGTTCTTGGTGAGTCTTTGATGAGTTTCCGCCTCGACCCTGTAGGGGATCTGGCTTGTCATAAGAGGTGACTAATTTGGATCAGGTGGTCTGACTAGGTTAATACCTGGTCATCGTACCTGAACTAATGGGATATTGATCCTAATGTTAACCGTGGTATTACTCACACACCATATCTGCATGTACAGGAAGCATCTACTGCTTGAAGACTGACTTGGATGTTGAAAACCATGTAGCATCTGTCCTGGTGATTGCTTCACACCTCAGGTTTCTTGGTTGACTACGATACTTCCAAACACAGAAGTAGATTAGGATGTGAAGATTTGTCCACACACTAGTTATTATTATACCCCCGACATAAAAGGGTAGGGGTGTATATTTATACCAAGGAATTACGACCTTCCTTCCGTCTGTCCTTCCGAGGACATACTTTGGTGCGACCTATAACTTGATAACAACCAAATAGATTCTTTTCAAACTTGGTGAACACTTTCTATACCAATAGGAGAGGTGCAGTGTCAAATTTGATTAAAGTAATTGTATTTTCTAAATAAAAAAAACACAGCCCTCTTTCATTTTTTTACTTAGAATTATTTGACCTGTAACTAGCTATAGAAAACTACTTCATGGATTCTTTTCAAATTTAGGGAACAGTTTACATACTTATAGAAGAGGTGCAGTGTAAAGTTTCATTTTGACTTGGGTATTTTCTGAAAAAAATATGATTTTTTTAATGTTTTGTACGTAGAATTTGTTTTTACGTCAACATTTGTGCGACCTATAATTACTTCATGGATTTTTTTCCAATTAGGGGTACAGTTCCTATATCAATAGGAGAGGAGCAGTGCATAGTTTGATATTTATTACATTTTCTGAGAAAATATTGCTTTTATCAGGTTTTGAACTTAGAAATGTTGGAGTCGAAGTCAGGGGTATATGGGACTCCTGCACACTTTTTTTCTTGTTTGCATTATGTTTTGTCATTTTTATGCAGATACAATTGTGCTGAAATGGATTGAGTTTAATTGTGCATTTAAATCTCTGCGTAAAACACAATGTCTTGCAGAATAGGAAATACAATTTAAATGGGATCAACATGTTTAGTTATGTTTTATCACATGTTTCCCATTACTATTGACTAAGTTTGTTATCACCTGTTCGTTCAACTGAAGGAATGGGAGATAGTTTTTTACTGTGAATAATTCTCCAAATTGTTTTATTTTGTATGTTTTCATAGTGCATTAAACATATGCTGTGTTGTTGGTACCTGTTGAGAGCTTGATCCTGTTTGCAGCCATCCCAGCCAATGTAGACCGGGAGCCCTTGCCCAGACTGAAGGTGGCCGAGGGGCAGACAATTACACTGACATGTGAGTCGTCGGGGAAGCCCAAGCCCAGCGTTGTTTGGTTCAAGGGGAATCAGCCCCTGACTGGGGACCGCCATGTTGTACAGGATAACGGAGATCTCCTCATCAAGGTGGGTGCAGAAACAGGAATATAGCTGGAATGTTGCTGAGCACGGTGTTAAAGAACAAACAAACAGTAAAAAAAGGAAAAGATTATGTATGAGAAGAATTTGTTTTTAATATTATCAATTGGTTTAATGCATTACACTTATATACCAAATGCAGTTGGCAGATCAACTAAGGGTTGAGTAATCTGAATGGCTGGGCAAGGTACTTGATTATTGACCTGCAAGCTGTGTTATTGCTGTTACAGAATGTGAACCACAAAGACACCGGCAACTACAAGTGCTACGCTAGGAACAGGTTTGGGAAGGATGAAGCTAATGGAACACTCACTGTTAGAAGTAAGCATTGACAATAAAACATTTAATCAATATTGATCAAAACTACTAAAAGATACTGGTTTCACCAAAGTGGTAATCGTCTGAGACCTGCACCACTTCGAGGGGTGACAGTGTATTACACACTGTGATATAACTGCAATATTGTTCAAATTGGTGTTAAACCAACCCAACTCACCCACTGAAAGTAACTTCCATGTTCCCTCTCTGTTGTACCCTTCAATGTAGCACTGACTCGGTCATCGCGTGATAACACATGGCTCCCAAAGTTTATGTAAACTCAAGTTTTCACTGACACAATGTTTTTTCACAAAGCAAAGATGTTACCAGCTGAACACTGGAAATACCAATCAACAAATCCAAACTGAAGTACCCACTTTAGTACTAGTATAATGCTCTCTGGTTATGAAAACGTGTTCATTGTATATCTGGACATACGTTTGTAATATATCTTATTCATGTTATTCCAAGTTTCATCATTGTGAGGGATCACTGTATATTTCACTGGTTATAAGGTTTTTATGTCATCAGTAACAAATGTTATTAATGGAAATCAGTGTGCAATCATGTCAGAAAAGCTTTATTTTATCTTATCCTGACTAATACTTATTGCTTATCTCTCTCTCTTCCGAATAGGTAGTGGAAACGTCCTGTGCTGTTCCCAAAGAACAGAGAAAACAGCTTACCCAAATGCACCCTCACTCTGCGCATGCGCACCGGAACCATGTGACCAAGCCCATTAACTCATCACTCTCTCTTTTTCGCGCCATCTTGGCAGCTGGAAATTTTTTTCTTTGCATCATAATCCAAGCTTTCCATAAAAATTCACCCTTTTTAACAAAATCATTTGCTTGGATTATCTTCTGTGATATTCTATACATCATATCTAACGATTATTTTATATATTTGGCATTAGAATTTTTCGTAATTTGGACTCAAATGCAGCCCCTATCGGAGATCATGAAAACATGTAACTGATGTAAATTACGTTTTTCAGATTTCGGACCCTCATCCAACCTGTACCAGCTGCACAGTACAGAACTGCACTGCAGAGAATAGATGCAAATTCTGCGCCCCTTTTGGGGAAGGAAGAATTTAGTAATTATCTTTTTGCAGTGCTGAGGAAAAAGCTGGATCGGAAATGACGTGAGTCATCACGCTCGTTATCATCCACGGAGACGGCTAAAAGTAAGAAGAGGCAAGAATACGCCCTGCCCTTCGTCAGAATATGTTTCCCGCTGAATATGATGCAGTCACCCCCCCATCTTACTTCCTCGTCTACCAGGAAGAAGTCTAGAGGGTCTAAGAATAAACCTACTGAACGCTTCAGTAAGGCTATCACTCTACAACAACTAGCTAAGAAAAAGAGTGCTGCATCATCTACTTTCATCAGCTGTCTTCCCCTAGGGGAGAGCATGTTTTTGCAGAGGTTATTACCTCTACAAAACCACAGACTTCATCCGCAGTCATGAAGGGAGTTTCAAGAAAATCAGCTGTTTCTTCTAGCCAGAAGAAAGCCTGCGCGCAGACAATTACTTCCGCACAACACCAGAGGTTCGCGCAGCCCGCAGTGTCATCCAATTCGGCTACAAATACAACCGATATATACCTCAATCAGCCTCAGACCTTCGCGCAGATACCGGCCTTCGCGCAGCCCAACACAACAATTACGCAATCCTCTACCTTCGCGCAGGCTATTAATCAAAAGAGTATACACAGACGCCAGCGTTCACGCAGGCTCCCGCCTTCGTGCGGCCTTCAACGTTTACACTGCCAACTACCTTCACGCAGGCTACCTTTTTTACACAAGGTACTTTGCTAACGCCTGCTATTAATACAGATGTGATTGCAAATATCACACAACAAGTCATAATGGCTATGCAACAACAAATGTGTAAACAACCTGGCACGCAGTCGACTACCTCTTCACACAATAGCTCGCAGATGTCGCAGCCTTCATTTACGGCTCCGAATCCTAACGCCTCCTATCTTCTGCGAGAGGAGGATATGTTCGAGCCCCTTCAAAATGAGGACACATCGGGGGTAAATTACCCTTCAATTTATGAGGATCATGAATTAATGGCGTGGATTACAGATAGACTGCCAATATCATCACCGTCAAGAAATTCTTCTCCCACTGATACATACTGTATCAAAGGGGACGATATAGACACACTAACCATCCCACCGATAAAACCAATCTCCAACATTGCAGAGAATCTTAATGTTTCTTTTGCGAAAGCCACGAAATCACAAGGACTTCAAATACCGAGCTTTAATTCTAAGAAATTCCCCATGCACGCCATGTCGCAATTTCTTCGCTCACCAGAGATTGATGAAGATTACTCACTCCTGTCAGAACGACCGCGAAAGAATGCTACTTTCAGCTCTCGTCAATCAAAAGAAAAATCAAGAAATTATTTCTGATCATATGAGTTCAGTGTCGGCAGGTTTAACACTACTACAGCAACAAGGTCTTATAAATAATTCTAATTGGTATACCTATACCAAAGAATTATTAAGACAACCCTGGGAGGCCCAAACCATTTTTAATGGTAACATACGCAAAATCAACAAAGAAGTGCTTTAAGACTCCAAAGATCATATGCTGATCAAGTCAGTTCAGACTATGAATTCTATGTATCGTCAATCCATGCAGAAAACCCAATTCAAAAGCTGTATGACGGGCATTCAAAAAGCTAAAGAGAAACGCTCGTACAACTACAGAGGCGGGAAATCATCTGCTTTTCGCAAGTCGCATGACACGTCATGTGATGCCGACCGCCGCCGCAGATTGAGGTGATCTCGCAATATTACCAGCGAAGATGGGCTTTTGAACGACAGGGAACTCCCCCCACCAGCCGTTCATGTACAGCATTCCCCAGTAGGCGGAAGATTGGCAAGATATTGGATGAATTGGGACATTCTAGGTGACGAATTTGTTTCCAACTTTCTAAGAAAGGGCTACGCGCCGACTTTACTCAAGAAATCCCCGTAACCTCGCAAGCCACCGAAAATACCTTATCGGAAAGAATTGTTGCCGAAGTTAACTGAAGCAATCAATTCACGTCTCAACAAGGGCGCAGTCGAGATAATTCATCCAGAATTACTAACGCCGGGTTTCTATTCACCGATCTTTTTGGTTCTCAAAAAGAATTCAAACGGAAAGTTTCGTTTGATTTACAACATGAGAAAATTCAACAAGAAATACCTCCCAAAACCAGAGGATTTCAGAATGATTCAACAAATGATAAGACAGCACGACTATCTCGGAAGCATCGATCTACAGGATGCTTACCTACACATTCCCATAAAACGGACTTTCAGGAAATATTTATGTTCCTCTTTGAAGGACAACATTACCAGTGAGCGGCCCTGCCCTTTGGAATTTTTAACAGCAGGCCTATGGTTAGAAGCAGAAAAGCTCTACCACATCAATTACCTGGAATGTGAGGCAGTAATCCGTGCATTATTTCACTGGGCCCGCAAGTTAAGAAACCAACGTCTGATGATCAGAACATACAATTCAACTGTGGCATACAATATAAACCTTGACCCTCCTGAAGTTGACATTTCAGCTTTACGAGCTAGTAGACAATCTGAACTTAACAATAAAGACAAGACATATACCAGCAGTGGCATATATCTTAGCAGACGCCTTCACCAGACCAGCCAAACCATCACCGACAGAATGGAAGCTACACCCAGAAGCATTCCAACTGGCTATAAAAGAAAAAGGTTGCCCATTAGATAGACCTATTCGCAACCAGATTCAACAATCAGATAACAACATTTGTATCACCAGTGCCAGACCCACTAGCTTGGTCAGTCGATGCTCTGTCAATATCATGGGAGGGACTAAACGCGTATGCGTTTCCTCCACCAGCCGTGATACCACAGATATTACAAAAGATCCTACACACGAGCAGCATACAACTGCTTTTGGTAGCGCCTTACTGGCCAGCGAGAACGTGGTTTCCAGATCTGGTCGAACTAGCAGGAAATCCAATATTAAAACTTCTAAACTGGCCAAATTTACTGCTACACCCCCCCTCCAATCAGGTCCATCCAAGACCAGATCTATATGAACTTCACGTATGGAGCATATCAAGAGCAGTCTCGTAAAAGAGGATATTCCATGAGAGCAGCTAAGGCAGTCTCCTTAGCACTTCGTAGATCAACGAGGAATCTCTATGACGATAAATGGAAACGTTTTGACCAGTTTGCAACATCCAAGGGTTTTTCTGCAGCCAAACCTACTATACCACAAGTAGCAGATTACCTATGTCACTTACGAAGTACAAGGAATCTTAAAGGTTTGACACTGGGCACTTATTTGGCCGCTATCAGTTCTGTACTGACAATGGCTAACGGGATAAAACTTACTAAAGTTCCCGAGCTGATAGCCCTACTCAGATCCTTCAGACTTGAGGACCAACAGAAAGATTTAGAGCCCCAGCATGGGACCTAAATATAGTGCTACAACACCTAACCAGTAATGCATACGAACCGCTCCAACAGGCCGACTTTGAACACCTGACGCAGAAAACCCTATTTATTCTGGCATTAGCTACGGCAGCCAGAATATCTGAAATCCACGCGATAGACTTCAATCGCATCACATTTGACAGTGGTAACAACTCATCAGCGCACCTTGGCTTAAGATGGGACTTTATTGCAAAGAACCCGTTACCAGGCCAACCAGACAGACAATTCCATGTTCCGGCTCTTTCCTCCGTCCTTGGTGCAGAGGATACAGAGGATTTATCACTATGCCCAGTCAGAGCCTTAAGATTATACCTACAAAAGTCTAAACCTAGAAGACAAGGTTTTAAGAGACTATTTATTCCTTTATTAAGGAATACACACACAGAGGTATCCAGAACAACTATCTCATTTTAGATGAGAGCTGTTATTCTCAGAGCATACAGAGCAGTGGGATTGGACCCCCCTTCAGCCTCCAACCCTCACGAAGTAAGAGCCTTAGCCTCAACTTTGGCACTTCACGGCAACTGCTCCATAACAACTATTATGGAAGGTTGTTTCTGGAAATCGGATACAGTTTTCGCCAATCACATACCTCAGAGACCTTGCTACAGAAGACTTAGCTGGTATTCACCAATTGGGACCATTAGTTGTGGCACAACGACTCACGAATCCTACCAGACGACATTAGAAGATCACACTCACCCAATATCACGTAGACTTGTTGACATCAGGTTACTTTTCCATAACCAACGACTGAGAGTCCATGCCCCCTGTTTTACTATGTATGTAATTCAGCACATGAGTGAGAAATGATTGTGTTAAGATTATTGCTCTTCTCTTAACACTTTAATCGTTTAAGGTGAACAAGATTTTAATCTTAGAAACTTTATAAATCCACAAATCTATATGATTTACTTCCATTTTGCTGCTCACAAAAAAGGAAGGTGGTCCCCAAATGAAGAATTTACATAGAAGATTAACAACGTTCCTATGGGGTGTATAGAACAGATCGACACATACATAATCACACATACAGGTGGAACCCACCACCTACTGTGAGATTCAAGCAGTAAGTATGAGTCAGGATAAGATAAAATATGTATTTTTTAGAGTAAAAATATCATTTATACTTATCCTGACTCATACAAATGAGTACCCTCCTGGCCTTCCCCTCTTTCCACTGATGTGTTCCGACCATTAAGTAGGAAATAAGAGAGAGTGATGAGTTAATGGGCTTGGTCACATGGTTCCGGTGCGCATGCGCAGAGTGAGGGTGCGTTTGGGTGAGCTGTTTTCTCTGTTCTTTGGGAACAGCACAGGACGTTTCCACTACCTGTTGGGAAGAGAGAGAGATAAGCAATAAGTATGAGTCAGGATAAGTATAAATGATATTTTTACTCTAAAAAATACATGATTTTCAACATTGTTTTCTAGATCCTACTTGGTCAGCTTGTGATTGATTCTTCGAACATGTTTTGTGTGTAGGTAACATGAAGATGTTTTAGATTTATTTCATGCAATTCCTCATACAAAGAAATCTTTAAATTTCAGAGAAAACTAAAATAGATTCTGAACCACTTGACCTTGAGTTAATTTATGGCAACGAGGCGACCTTTACCTGTGGGGCCATCACTGACCCCCTTGAGACCCTGGAGTACTCCTGGCTGCGCAATGGTGTCCGAATTGAAGAGGATGACCCCCGATTCAGCATCATGGATGGCACACTGACTATCATTGACATCAACAGTAAAGACACTGCTAACTACACGTGCATGGCATCTAATGGCCTTGACAATGCTACAGCTTCTGCTAAATTACAGGTCAAAGGTAAGCTTGTCCTCAAATGATTTTAAGAAAGTACAAATCTTGGTCATTTGTTTGATACACATTCTTGACTTTAAAGTTCAAATTTTGATGAATCACATAAAACCCAACATTCCCTTTGTCTTCTCATGATAAGTGTTTCTTGCGTTTAGTAGTGTATGTTCTTGCGTTTAATAGTGTATGTTCCTGCATTTAATAGTGTATGTTCTTGCGTTTAATAGTGTATGTTCTTGTGTTCCTACAGCACCACCTGATCCACCCTACAATGTGTCAATGAAGCACTGCTACGCAAATGATGCCATTTTGAAATGGCAGTTTGATACAAAACTGGAAAACTTCTCTCCTTTGCAAAGTTTTATTGTGGAATACAACACATCATTCCACCCAGATGTCTGGGTCACTGGTGCAAGGCCCTCTGCTGATAGTCGCGAGGCAGAAATAAAGCTTTCATTATGGGTTAGATACAATTTCCGTGTCAAGGCCATCAATGAAATCGGTATTGGCAAACCAAGTGCTATCAACCCGGCGGAGTGCAAGACTCCCCAAGGTCGTCCTGACCGGCATCCCCGGAAGGTCCAGACTGTGGGTGACAAGACCAACTTCCTGGTGATAGAGTGGGAGGTAAGACTGGACAACAATCAACAGTCAAGTGAACAATTTTAAATCTGATCTTCAATCAGTCAAACAAGATCTTACCAGACCTGTCAACCCTCCCGCATTTTGCGGGAGACTCCCGCAATTTGATGAAATCTCCCAGTCTCCCGCATGATTGACTATTTCTCCCGCAAAACAGAATTCTTCATTATTTTAAAAATTCACTTCCATTGTCCCGTGAGTAAAAACAATGAACGGGAAGTTTGCGTCCCGAATTGTCTGGTAGGCTCCCGGATTAGCGACCCTTATCACAGCCACCCGCAGGGGGACCCAGATGTTGCCTTTGTCCAGTAATCAACTGGTAATTAAATTCATATGGTGAATGATTGAACAATGTAAGCTGTTAAGAAAACTCGGATAGTCCTAACAGATGCCTGAAGGGTTGAACTTGAAATGAAAAATCAGCCAAGTATTCATCACTTCAAGAAATGAACTGTTGTCTTCATGTTCTTAGCGTGTTTATTCTTCCATAATTTAAGAACATAGATACATATGGCCGGTCCAGTTATACATGACTTTATTGGTTATCAGATTTGTCAGAAACTTTGTTAAAACATTAACATACCTCAAAGTTACGTCATTGAACTCTTGGAAATGAAAACAAAATATGTCCTGCAAGCGCTGTCTTCAGAAACAACACTATACGTGATTGGTTGATTCGGCAGTCGAAATAACAATGAGTTACACGATCAGGCTTCCTCACAGCTAGGGTTTCAAAGTCAAAGTTTAAAGTGACACTTATAAATTTCCTTTTGACTGACAGGGTGACTTGTGTGCACAGAAAATATCAAAATAGAACTTTATCAAATTTCGTGAGAACGTATCATGTGATTATTTTACACGATTTGATTGGCTAATAGTTTGCTTGCGTCCCAGATCTGCAATCTAATTTGAATACAACAGTACAAGTCAACAAATGAGATTAATACACGTCAAGGTCAGAAAGGTCAACAATGACAACGAGACTCATTGCATTCATAAATTGTAGTAAAACGTAATAGTACTTCCAAATATGGCATAAATTTCTTGGAATGGAATAACGTGAACATTTCTAGGAAATTGAAGAAGCGAAGTAATGGGACTGTCAACAGACTACCGCAGACAGAAAAAAACCAGCATATCTTATTGAAATTAGGGGCGATGATGTTGCGTCAGGATAAATGCATTTGATATTTCTTTGGCAAATTTTGTAACCAACATCGCGCCAAATACTCAGAAAACCTGCATCGTAACGAAGCCTGACAACTGCTCGGATTGAACACGTCTTCAACTGGTCAAGCTACCGATTGTGAAATTTCAATATCTGTTTGCGTTTATCTGAGATGATCTTTGAACGAAAGTTTTATGGGTAGATGGTGCTGGGGTTTATTTTGGAGGAGGAAAATGCAAACGGAAATTAAGCAAGCTGTACGTATAAGAAACTTATTGATTATTTATTGTTTCAAAATATTTGGTTTTCTTAGTAACATTATGAAAAATAAAAGTTTGAAATTATCTTATCTTCACTATTTTAAAAATCTCCCCCTTTGGAGGCAAATCTCCCCCATTTTGAAGGCAAATCTCCCACATTGTCATGATGAGGGGTTGACAGGTCTATCTTACCTGTATTATGTTTTAGACCACTCACAAGGTTCGTACTGGCATGAAAAGGTCTTGAAATTTAAGATCCCTCTTGAAAAGCCTTAATTTTTAGTGTCAACCTGAAAGCCTTGAAAATCACCAAAATAGCTTGAAAAGCCTTGAATTTGTACAAAATGACATAAACTTGTTAATAAAAGTAGTAAATGTACAAAACTAAAACTTATGTACCAAGGATGTTTAAGTGTGATGTATCTAAGCCATTATCATGCTAGAATACTTGCTGTACCTTGGAGAGAAATCAAAGATATCTAGAGAGAGGACTAGGCAATGAAATGTTAGCTTGTGCCATCAACCATTGGTTTCCCAGTCAAATAGATAAATATAGTCCTCTTAAACATAAATATATATCACTGTCTCATTATGTTACTCCTACTAAAACTTGAACATTGTTTATTTGCTCAGCCCATGCCCCAGATTGAGCACAATGCACCCGACTTCTTTTACAACATTACGGTGAAGGAGGAGGATGGGGACGGCGTCATGAACTTCGCAGAGGCAGATTCCACAGTTGGCAGGAGGGAGATCTTTATCAACAAGACCTACAAGCCCTATAAGATCATAGTGAGAGCACAGAACAGAGTGGGACAGCCATACCTCCCAGCTGAGGAAATTCGGGGTTTCTCTGGGGAAGCAGGTAGGAGATTGCAAATGCCACTTAGACAATGATAAAGTAAGGAGATTTCAGACTAACACCATGCACTCTGGTAAAATAACATGTTATAGAACATACACGCTCATGACATTCAGAGCTATCGCTTCAAGTGAGACAGCATTTTCAAAAGAGACCGAAAATGTTTAATAATGGATGGTTTGTTTCCAGCACCAACTGTTGTCCCTGGGAACTTCGAGCTGGACCCTGACAAGAATGTGACAGCAACAAGTGCAGGTTTCCGCTGGGATCCTGTCAACACAAGCACAGAGTCCATGCAGGGAGAATACAAAGGTTACAAGGTATGTGCTAAACACACATGGTCTGGGTTGGATCGAAAGACATTAAAAGATGGTACTTGTTGTTACCCTGCCTGGTGCTTGGCATTAAGAGGCTTAAGCAAGGACTGGTAGGCTCGGACCGGTCATACTGTGTCTGAGTGGGGCATGGTATCTCAGTGGGCTGGCACTAAAAAATCGGCATGAGCCTGGACTAGTACAAGCGCACACGCACACGCACACGCACACGCACACGCACACGCACACGTACACACACACACACGTTGCTATATAAGTGCAATAAGCTTGAACATGCCGTTAAATCCCATTTCACCTCAGCTCATGATGTGACAACATTTGGGATGAACAAAGAATAGTGATGGCAGTGATCCATTTATTACTGTTAGGGGTCAGAACCTAAGCCTGGGGACCCCATGCAGCAGTAAGGGGCAGTAAGTGAATGTGTTGAGTAGCTGTGACGCTGCTGGTCCAAAGCAAACAGCAACCCGGAAATAATCCAGTCTTGACCACACTAGGTGAATAGATCTGATGCAGCTTTCAACAGTATTTAGGTCATAATTCGGCATATCTTCTTGATGTAAGCAAAAGTCTTGAAGTCATGCAGGTCTCAGAGCTTTATCACTGCCACAAGCACAGGCGTGGTGCTGACAAATTCAGAAACTGCATCAGAAACTGGGATTTGAACACTGCACTGAGACTTGCGGTCCCTCACACGACTGGGACACCTGTGATGTACCCCCACACTAATTAGTGGTTAATAGCATAAGCATGGCCATTGTAGTGTCATACAGTGAGCAGTCTCACACATTGTAAGAACCCAATCTCCTTTTTTTGTCAGCCCTTTTAGATGGGGCTAGTACTTGATCGTTGGGAATGCCACTGTCTGACCGAGCTCACATCGTGAGTCACCCTTTTGCTGCTTCAGTTTCTTGTTACACTTGCCGTCATGACAACTAGGATGTTGCAGACTTTGGTGTAAACCATCATTTGAAACAGTTCCTTGATATATGTTTCATGTGTTTGTTAATGTATTGACCAATGAGTGACATTTTCTTCAATGACAGGTTCGTTACTGGAAGAGAGAACAGAAGGAGACGACACTGCACGAAGTGTTCATCCCCGACACAACCAAGGATGGCGCTTCACGGAGACGGAGACAAGCAGACAACAAGATGAGGGCAGAGGTGCGAAACTTGCCCTCGTACTCAGAGATAGAGGCTGATGTTGTGGTCGTCAACAACTACTTCAGCTCTGAAGGCAGCAACATCGTCAACTTCTCAACACCAGAAGGAGGTAAGGAGTTTCTGAGGCTAGGTTTTATACAACTTGTGTATGTTGTTTCTCAGTATGTTGTATAGACATTGGCATACAGTACTAGTGAGAGATAACCAGAGAGTACCTAGCTTTCTGGCTGTTTACACCTACATATTCTCTGTTTTCAGTACCGTCAGCTGTAGAGTACCTGGATGCTCTGTACCGTGGCTCCACGCACTTCCTGCTGGAGTGGGGGGAGCCCAAGGAGCCAAACGGCAATGTTACTGGCTACAGGGTTGGCTACAAGAAGAGTAAGTGATGACTACAATCAGTCTTTTGTAGATGCTACCTTTATTCTCACAGTTTGAAATACATAATGAGTCTCTTCTGTGCTTCATTTAGATAAGGAAATTTGATAAATTATTTGTGCTGTTTTGTCCTTCAGTACAAGGCCTGGAGGTTGGTGAGCTGGTGGTGGGTAAGACAGTGACGAAGCGGCGCGTGTTTCTAGGGGGCCTGAGCCCAGACACCGCGTACCGCGTGTACGTGTGGGGGCTGACACAGGAGGGCCAGGGGGAAGAGTACTACATCGACACACGCACAGCTGAACACACATCAGGTAAACAGAGAGAGTCACCTTATAAAGGATAAGATATATGGATGAACGACATTACTTTTTTACAATTATGGGCAACGTGATGTACAGTTTGGTTTGTTTGTTTGTTTAAACGTTGCTCATCCATATATATCTTATCCTTACTATGTACTTCAATCTGGATTCGATTCCCAACATTGGTACAACGTGTGAAGCCCATGGAATATTCCTAAAATCGGCGTAAAACCATACTCACTCACTCTAAATGCTTCCCAATGAAGTTAGACACCTAATCACTAGTTGTGGAATTTGGAATATATTTAGCCACAAGTTTTATTAAAGTCCGGAAGTAAAGGCCATTGGCTAATGTAAAGGAAGTACAGAGTATATAATGGATCAAGTGCCACTCTGATGAAATAATTGAACACAACTGTTGTTCCAACAACATACTGGCAATTAGAATTGTCTGGGATACTTATTCAAAGTAAACAATCATTCTTTAATGCATTGCGTTTTTCTACCCGTATTTTATTCATGTCACTGCATGTCTGCTTGATTTGGGAGGAAGGCCCATAGTAATGCAGATTTGAGGTGTTTACCACTTTGGTGAAACCCAACTAGCACGGACTGAAGCTGCTTCAGGATGATGCTTGGATTTGACACCACAAGTTTCTGGCAGCTCTGCAGCCCAAGAGATAGAACCACTAAGTGCTTTTTTCAAATATCAAAATGTAATACAGTCAAAATTTTGAACACTTTTAAAAAGACATGTACTGATCCATTTGATATGCTGTTCTTAGTCTATTGCAGCATTGTCAAATGTTGAGAATGATTTCTTCCAGACCTTGTTCGTCCGGTTGTTGACAAAGTTATGGCAGCTGCTACAGCTGTCAATGTGACATGGCGCATCCCAGACATCGATGGAAGGCCTGTGGGAGCTCGCTCGTTCCTGCAATATCGCCAACTTGGGAAGGGTGATTGGGACAGTGTTCCGGATGAAGAACATGAAGACTTCTGGCAGCAGATTGAAGGTCTGAAGGAAGCAACACCCTACCAGGTGCGCGTGGTGACGAAAACAGGGCAGTATGGCACCGAGAGTTACCGGGAAGCCGCGAGTGACCAGCGCACATTTACAACCACGGGTGTAGGCAAGTACATTACGATACTCTCAGCTAACAAAGTGTACTATAGAACAGCAACACTGATGATAGGGAGGCAGATGGACTGTGTTTTAGGTGGTGTCAAGAAATGGCCAAAGGGCCTGGTGGCGTACAGTGTTGTCTAAGTATTTGTCCGTGCTCTTATTAATGTCTCTTGGCTTACTACATGTGCTAGAATTATCTTTAACACCATGCTTACATATTTACACATATTTCTGAAAAGTTGACATATGAAAGTGCATGTGAGGGGGCAGCAGGTGCTTCCCAATGGTTTGAAGGCATATTTCACACAGCCAGGGGCATGTATGTCACATGGAACACGGTGTAGCCATTAGGAACATCATACAATGACAACATTAGTCCTGACTCTGGCGCTTTATTTCCTTGTTATATTGGGTGTTTATGAACTTGAATTATGGAAACCTTTGCAATATCTCTGGTGATATATATACTGTAAATCTTGAAAGTTTTGCACCATTAAATTATTGCAAGTGGGTAACAAGAGCCTTAACTGCACCTGGAATGTTTTGTGACATCATGTCGATGAGATTACCAAAGATAAAAGTTGCTTTTGCACATGTTATTTTTTATGAGTAGGATACAGTGTGATGAAGAGCTAACTCAGTGTCAGTCAGTGTTTGGGTAACTACAGATGAATGTGTTGTTGTAGTTGACAAGGGAGGTCCGAGCGGCATGCATATCTTACAATAGTGGACCCATGAAGATTCAGCAACCCATACTTGCCGTAAAGGGTGAATATGCTTGTCGTAAGCGGCGACTAACGGGATTGGGTGGTCAGGCTCGCTGACTTGGTTGATGCATGTCATCGTCTCAATTGCGTGGATCGATGCTCATGATATCAATCACTGGATTGTCTAGTCCAGACTTGATTATTTACAAACCGCCGTCATACAGCTGGGATATTGCTGAGTGTGCCGTCCAGCAACAAACCAACCAATCTTACAATAGTGTTTATATTCAAGACTGGCGTATGTCTGGACTACTCAGTGTTATGTGAGGAAACTGACTCAGCGTGGCAGGGTAGTGAACTAGCCGGATTAGACTAGTGACTGAGTGACAGTTCATAATAAGGAAACAGGGTCTGAGGAATTATTTATTTAATCCTCTTCTGCCTAGTTTGACAATGTGGGGAGGTGAATAAACGAAATATGAATCCTTACATTTTTTGTTTGTTGTTGGTCTGCAAAAATAACTGTGTCATGAAACTATTGCGTGTGTGTGTCACTCGCAGTTTTCGCAGTACTTTCCTTCTCGCAAAACTTTCCAGATTTACAGTATATAATGATTGTCCTTTTACTATTTGCTGAGGTACTAGCTGAGAATGAGTTGTAATATTATGACAGTTTAACAAGTTGCTATGGTCCTGTACAATAGCTATTTCATCTGTTCACTACAAGAAGGTTGGAGGTTAATAATACTATCTTGGCATACCTTAATCAGCACCTATTTTAAGCCGAGGTTCATGAACATGTTTGTTTACAACAGATACCTTCTTTCCTGTCTTCGCTTACCTGAATGCAAACGAAACCACCAACAATTCTACTGGAGGTTTTATCAATATATTTTTTATTCTGAACGTGGAGATTAACCAGCATGCATTGCATAACATTGGTTCCATGTTTTGAGAGTCAGTCACCCATCTGCATGGCGCCATACTACTCGTGGCACCAGCCCTGTGTTGGCTGATGTTAGTGTAGTGACACATTCGACTGACAAGTATTGTACCCATATAGTCAGGAGTTGTTCCAGAATTAACATGATGATTGTTGCCAGGCATTTACCTGCAGCCAATAACTTCTATCTAAGAATAACAAGTAGTGTTTTTTTAGGAATTAATGACAATGTAGTGATATTTGGGCCAAAAACTATGGTATATGGATGGTGCACACATTAATTCATGTCGGGTATAGAAAAGTAGTTGTTCAAACATCAAAGCTTTTGGAGAAGACTTCAACATGTATGTTGGTATTTAGTGAAGTAAATTATTTCCAGCTGTACAGAATATGTCATGTTTCTTTCTGCTTAGCTGCAACAGTCCCTGCCCTCCATTGTTGGACACTCTTGGGTAGTTGCGATAGCGGGGTTGAAAAAGCCTGGAATATTAAGGTCCTTCTTGAAAAGCCTTGATTTTTAGTGTCGACCTTGAGAAGCCTTGAAAATTGCCAAATTAGCTTGAAAAGCCTTGAATTTGTACAAATTGACATAAACTTGTTAATTAAAATATAATAGCACACAAAAATATGTACCAAAGATATTTCAGTGAGATTTATCACAGTGATAGATTTGTGTGCCAAAGGCCCTGAAGAATTCATGACAGACTTAATTTATTCTTTTGTTAGGTAAAAAATAAATCTTGTGTGATGGTCTTAGGACTAGTACCGTATTTTCTTGAGTATATAGTATGGCGAATTTAATCTAATATTGACAGACTAAGGCTTATAACCCAGTATAACCAGAAAATGACAGTATCTGTATGAAAGAGCCTTGGATAGTTACCCTCTATTCCGATCTCCAGATTAACAGCATGCATATGTTGCTGTAATGGTGGCGTTGTCATCGTTCAGTTTGGACAGGTTTCTTTAGCCCCACTTTAACCCTGATGTTGGACTGTCATGTTGTTTGTAGAGTGGCACCGAGGTTCATAAGGAGGTTGCTATGTTTACAGGCGGTGTAGTAAGTAAGGACACAAATGAGGTTCTTGATAATACTGACAGTGAGGAAGGTATGTATGGAGTTTGTTTAGGAATGATAATTCCTTTTCTACAACATGCAGCAGCCAGGCTGCTGGGCATACCTTCTGTACAGATCTCTCTATAGCCTATGCTGCCGTCGCGCATGAAGTGAACGATAAAAATGTAGCAGGTTGACGTTGAATGTAAATGTTGCACTGATGCATGATGGGATTGCAGCAATCTGCCACAAAGTTGAGGTCCAATTCTCAAAGGAACTTTTGCATGTATTTTTCACATGAAGGCTAGGAGTCGTTAGGCCAACGATCTCTTGGTTAATGTTAGAGGACCACTCTCTATGGACATACTGTGCACTAGATCAATGTAAAATACTTTGTCTGAAGTATGAGAGTGAGGGAGGAGTGGAAATGGTCAGTGACATGCGGCCAGCTCACACCAAGAGCCTGTGAATAGTGTAAACAGATCTTGCATCACAACAACAGAAGCTATTTTGGCCCCTTTTTTACCTGCAGAAATATTTATTATTAAGTCAATATCACAAAGCCTTTGACATTACTATTCATCATGTACCCATATCAGACCTTATTTTGATGATCATGTAGCAAATCCTACGGGAGCAAGTCCAGTGCTATGTTTGCGTTGTCCTAGCTTTGCCGGTACATGTGTGTTAGGCTGCAGAAGCCTGTGAGTGTGTGGTGGCCCGGATGGGGGTCTGCGGCGGAGACGGCCGGTACTTTCTTCTTTACAGGGTCACACAGGAGCGGTCAGGTTGAATGGGTTGACAAGTTTCTCTTTAAGTATCAAGTTCAGTATTTGCTTAGCTTTTCCTGGCTGTCATGGCTTATTGTCTGCTGATTATGATGTGGGTAGCAATTTGAAATAGAGCTGTTAATTATGAGACAGACCCTATAAATGTAATACTAGGAGCTGTATATTCACAAGGAAGCAAGGCCTACTTAGTCAATGGATGTTTAGAATGTTTTTCATGAATCTTTGTATTTGACATGATGGGTTGTCAAGGGTTTCTCAATGATGTTGTTTGCAACTTGGCATGTATGGTCTAATTCTTCATTTTTTTGCAGTTGATATGATTATACTAATGTTTAATATAGAGCTGCCACTAAAATGATTGAGATGTTTTCTGATATAGAAGTCCGACCATAGTGTGACCATTCATAAGCCTTGTGGTTTAGAAGATCATTTGATGTCATTTTTGTCAAATGTGTCAAAGGATCTCCAAACCCAAGGAAATCCAATAACATGCATTTTGAGTTCTTACTAATTTATGCACAAATTCCCATAAACATTAACTGTCACAAGAATGCACACATTCTTAGAAATATCGGCTTAATGGACAATATTAAGACAATGCACTTTCTGCATGAGATTACCCCTGCTCAGAGAATCTCAAAACTGTAGTGTGACTTTGTAACTGAAGTATCTCAACTTTCAAATTCCTTGAGATGTATTCAAGTCCTTGAACAGTCAGTTTATTTCAGTGCCCCCATGGATGTAAGTTAAACAGTCCTGTCACTGTTGACTGAGTAAAGGATTTCCTTGTTTTGGATTGAATATTTTGAGATAAAACATTGTGTTCTTTTTATTTGTCACATACAACTTTGGATTCATCTAACAGCAGTTTTATTTTGTTTTCCAGCGGCCAAGAGGGCCAATGTGCTGAGTGCTGGATGGTTTATTGGAATGATGGTGGCCATAGCCATTCTGCTTCTCATCCTCATCATCGTCTGCATCATCAAGAGAAACAGGGGAGATAAATACCATGGTCAGTTATTAGTTACTTCCCTTGGAGAACAGTATTTCCACCAGATCATTACTTTATACGGGGCGGTGACATTAATGAAATGAAGTATGAACAAAAGGAAGTCAGGTTTAATGATTTTTTACACAAAATTTATCAAGACTATGCTTTGCATAATGTTTATGTTCCTACCAGTGTCTCAAATATGTTTACTCCCAACAAGCTGATCAGTGGGTTGGTGACTTGCCCGTCTTGAAAGTTGCAGGCCCGCATTTCTCAAAATTTAAAAATCTTTGAATGAGACATCATAAATCATGAAAACATGGTCTCTGCAACGAAATGCTTCAAAACAGAAATACAGCAATTGCCTTTTGGTAGAGAGAATTGATTGATTGTAACCTCTGCTACGATTGGTAGACTCTCTAAGATGAACTTGCACTTTAACAGTTTGTAAATAAGAGTAAGAACAAAATTAAATGACAATTTGAAGTAAATCTTTACTGGGCAGGTAGGAAAAAACTTCACCTTTCCTGACAGAAATGTTGACAACTATTTCGAACATTGGTTCCCACTTTGTTCTAAGAATACTCTTTATCATTAACATGACTTAAATGAATTCTACTTTGTCTGAACTGTCATGTGTGGTTGCAGTGCAAGAGAAGGAACGTCTCCGTGGCAGCAACCCCGATGACGGACAGGATCACTTTAATGAGTATGCAAAGAGGTATTCCTTCCCTGTCCTGCTCTCCAGGGAGTCGATATACTGGTTCCCAACAAACGCCACCCCATTAGTCAATGAAGTCAACATATACTGGCATAAATGGAAATATCCCCATCATGTTGCTAGACCACCTCAAGTACTGACTGGCATACTTGGAACATGTCTTTGTTTCAATTACAACATAGATAAGATTTCATATACCTCCGACATGTGTTATTTGTGTAGATCAAGTACAAGTCAAACAGTCATATGTCTACTTATGCTTATCTGGAATTTCTTCTCTAACAGTTCTAGTTATTAATATATTAAATCATATCTGTTACTAATAATGAATGGAAAATAAATTTAATTTAGCTAAACATTTGGTAGTGGCACGTTTTCCACAAATGAAATGGTTCTCCTTTAGCCCTGAACAGCTGTGAATAATACTGGTCAACAAAATTAACCATCACCCCTACTAACATCGAGCTCTGTGATTGCCTTTACCAGCATTACCAAAATGTGTTTTCAGGAAATATTTCGGCTTCCATTTCTAAAATGTTATTCCTGATTGCATGTAGTGTTGTGTGTGATCCTGTGTCGATGTGGATGGCACTGTCCCTCCTGTAACCAGTGTGTGGACTCCTGATCTGTCATCTGCTTCATCTCTCATGCTTGTCTCTCCACTCTCCACACTTTGCTCCTGACATTACTGAAGCCCCTGGTGGAGGAGCTCCGTCAGTGGACATTGACCCTGCCTCAATTACTGACATAAGTGCGGGAAACACCCCATTGTAAACATCTCTCAAATTGTTGGGGAGGGACAAGGAAGAAAACTTCCCCCTAGACAGATGTTGTTTGTCCACTGTGAGCTCCTGTGCCAGTCAGTATTAACCAGAATTAGCATATCATGTTGCATGGTTCATTTCTCTAATACTGTCTCTATCAATAATAATAAGTACTAATATAAAGCTTCAATATTTCCTGGTGAAATATTTTTCCTTTAAGCATGGATGTTATTGTATGTTTTTTTCTGGTGATCTTTGCTGTAATGTGTCCCTCTTTTTGTCTCCAGTGATGAGAACGGAGTTGGACAAAGTAATTCATTCGAGAACAACCCAGAAAAGATGCCTCTGGAGTATGACGAGACAGACAGCATGGAGGACTATGGTGATGTAGACCCAGGGAAATTTAATGAAGATGGGTCTTTTATTGGTCAGTATGGAGTTCAAAAGTCCCCCGAGCCAGCAAATGCCTCAGCTATGTCAACTCTAGTATAAGGAGCCCGGTCATCTCATTTAGATAGCATCATCGAAAGTGTGGAATTCTCAGACTGGGAGTGACCTGCCTTGATAGGTACATTGCTTATATCAAGCCAGTAAATGACAGTTTAGTTATTAAATGACATATGTACTGACACAAGTTCAAGAGGAGCTGGTCTTGTTGTACTGGCACACACTGTATTGAGGCTGGAAGTTACAAGGAGTCTTAGGTCACCAACATACCTAATGGACCACACTGGAGGACCAATGTCATCTACAAGACAAATATTGTCTTCAAGCTGTTGAATGCAAATTTACACCAATGTGAAATAAGAAGCACCACACAAAAGCCATGAAGTGCTTACATTGTGAAATAGTATGTTGTTATGAAATGCTGAAACACCTGATCAGTAAGAGGAAGAATTGAGCCAAATGATGGGTGACAAGAAGTACACTTTTGTCAGGAATCGCAGCTTTGTGCATGGACAGACAGTACCAATATTGGTGTAACAGGAGTAAATATGCTGCTCTGCTGACCTAAGAACTTCACAGTCTCTGTGGATGACTATTCATAACATCAGATCAATTGCCTTACCTATGAGGACCTATAGAGCAGATGAGTGCTGTCTGTTTTCTTCAAGAGTATTTTATCATTGGTTGCAGTAGCCACGTATCTAACTGAGTGATTCAGTTGTTGCTTCAAACGTGTGCAACTCATCATAACCCATATAATCCTCCTAGACGTAGTTGTCCCACTGTATTGTACGTAGTAGTTCCCGATGCTGGTTGTGATGTTCCGAACTGCTTTCTCCACACCCATACACAGTGCGTAGTAGTGTCCGGCGGTCCTGTCCACACAGACCGCTGTCTGGATCCCACAGAGCTAACAGTTGGCAGGAGGAGGCCCACCTGTAGCCATGTATAGTACCCAAAACAAGTTAAAAAAGCCCCATTCCTTCATAGGACTACAGTTGATCTGTCATGGCTGGTGGGTATTGCCTCACACAGCCTTCCAATTGTGGGTGTTCTTTAACTTGTTTCCTGTAATATATTCAAAGGCTATCTAGATTTTCAGATTAGAGGTACGGGAATTGAGTCCTGGTAACAAGTGACAAATCACCTAACTTCATGACCTGGGCAAATCTCTTGATGCAAGTTTTATTCATGAGTAGGGTTAAAGATGCTGCTCCAGGTAGCTGATGAAAGTTGTGCATTCTATTGGAATCATTACCAAAAATAAACACATCAGATTTATTTTTGATGTGTTGGATGACAGCTATCATATCAGATATTCCAACCTGTGCAGAGCTACAGATGAGGGAAACAGTCATTGTAACCATGGAGGGCCTGTAGGATGCAACTCCCAACGCCTCACACCAACATGTTTTGATATGTTCTACAAGTTCTAGTCATGTTACTCTTGATAGTTCACATGAAGTTCTTCTCCTATCAACCCAGATAGTCTTTGGTTAGTTGTTTTGTGTTATTTATGCTGATGTAACAATTATTGCATAATCCCGTTATTCACATCGAGTGCAAATTCAAGTAAAAACATGGCCGCAAAGTATCCGTGCAATACTGTTTAATCACTGCCGTTACGTGATCAGTTCTTCAGGATATTACCTTGAAGGTTGTAACTGCCATTATGATATAGATGTGTTTTAGCTGGGGAAAATGCCATCAATTTAGTTTGAGATTAGTGATGCATTAGTTTATTTGTGAAAGTATCTATTATGGATATTTTTTGGCAGCCTAGGCAGAAGTATGTTCAGCTTATTGCACTCTGTCTATTAGAACTTCCACTTTCTTGATTCTAAGCTTTGTAATCTACCTCTTTGATTTTGAGATTTATTGATGTGTAATTCAGTTGTAATTTCTGTCAGTGCCAAATAATTATTTATCATTTGTGAATGGTCTTCATGAAGTTGTATTTTTGGTTTCTGGGGTATGGTTTGAGTCCTATATCAAGTGCTTACGTTGATTATCTCATTGTTGCGGAGGTAAGAGGTTGCCACGGAGACATGCTGACGGGAATTCCAATGTTTTCAAGACAGGCATACATACAAGTTGGTTTGCACCAGCAAATTACATTTGTATATTTTTATAACATTTGTTTTTGGAACATTACAAGCAATGTTTGTTATTTATGACCGAAAATGTTAATTTTGTTTTTGTTATATACCAGTGCCCAATGCAAGATCTGTATTGCTGTGTGTGTGTGTGTGCAAAGAATATTAATGTCTTGTATTCTTGTTATATCTTGAAATAAGCATTGTTTTCAGGAGATTTCCCTAACCACTTACCATCATCAAAGTACAGTGTTCAATAATTGTACTGACCAACACGCCAGTGTAAATGCTTTACTAGAGTGCTTCGTGTCCTCTGCTTGAAGTAGAGTGGTGTCCCCTTGATTTGGAGGAGCCATTTTCCATTCCCATATATATTATCAAGTGCATTTAGTGGAAATGTCCGTCGAAGTTCATTATGTAATGTGACTTTATATGCTGGAAAAAAGATCTGATATTAATATTGTCATTGATTTTGTGTCATAACCATGTCCTTGATGTGAGAAATGTGTCATCTGATTTTTATTTGAAGCTGTTCGTGTCAGATGGGACATGTCTAATTATCCGTTAGAGTTACCTACCCATTTTTCTCCATGGCTTTTATGTCTGGTATTAACATATTAATCTCTCGGTTGACACCACACATCCAACATTGTCATCCGAATCCTCCATACTACTGCTAGATCACCTTTTCATTTCATGTGGAGAAAAGCATATTCATTGGTTGCACATTTTGTTTATTTTATGTAGTATGTAAAGTAGTGCAACGTTAGCTCCAAGCATGTTAGTTGCCACAAGAAGAAGGCCTAGAGTCGAGAGACTGGCAACTCTCTCAGTCAGAGCTGTGTTGGCCCAATATTGTAACATGAGGTGCAGCTGAGCTTCAACCTAACACTTGAACTGCATGTGCTGGTTGCAGTTGAAGGTGACATCAAACAAATGCCGTTCAGGGGACAAGCATAGGTAACTCGTAAAGAAGTTAGATGAAAAATAGTTCCTCAATGTTTCATGCTTGCTACAACTGTCATATGATATTTGAAAGTTGGTTTATATCTTATGATTTGGATTAATTTGCTTGCTAAGAAACAATAAGTTGCATAATGTCTTGCCTTGTGGCACCATAGCATGATAAGACCTAGATAGTGCATAGCTCACATTCTGGAGAGAACTATTTATGCATAATTATAAGATACATTCCTGTGTGTTTGTGATTTTGTTCCCATTAGCACTGACTGGGTACTAATCTTCCAATTAATATATGCTAAGGTTTTTATATGATGTTTTTTTATGATATGGTTTGTCATTTTCCTGACTTAAATTATTTTTGTCAAGTTATGGGGGAAACCTAGATTGTGATTTAAGATGGTTAAATTGTAAAATCTGGTGGTTTTGTGTACTTTTTCCCACTTTATATTCCGTGCCTTCTAATAAATTACCCTCAAGCCATTAGTTGATGGATGAAATTGTTTTCATGTTCATTAAGTTAGTGCTCTTTTCATGGGTTTGTATTTTATTTAGAAAATCTGAATTTTCACTTTCAGGTCAGGAAAAGGACAAAGCAAAGTTATTGTATTTTATTGAATGTTATGCCCCTCCCTGTATATACTTCTTGTCAATATGAATGACTTGTTGGCTGCTGAATACTTCGATATGGTCTTTGCCTAATTACACAATATCTTAATCTTGTTGGCCATTTCTCTAGAGGGGTTGTCTCAAAAGCTGTTATGTTCATTCAAATCAATTTGTCTACATTCATAAATTTCATTTGTGCAAGGGAAATCATGTAGCAGCAGATATTGCAAAACTATTGGCATGGTAACCTTTGAGACAACTCCCTATGCAAGCAAGATTAAACGTGGCTTGAACTAGTCAACACTTTCATCCCTCTATCTGGCTATTATCATCATGTTTGTATGTGCAAATCTTTTCACAGAAATCAAAACTGAATAAAAATGTGCTTGAAATACAATACTTCTGTGGTTATTTATAACAATCTTACCATCCTCCACAGCTGTTGACTTGAGAACTTCTACAGAAAAGGATAAAAGACATTCACTCAAAATGCCACACTTCATGGGGTAGGTAATATAGGTTTGGGCTCAGTCCTTCATATGGATGACATATGTTTTCAAAATATCTCCCAGGAAGGGATACAAATTAGATCAAGTTAGAAATCAACAATCAAGAATCAATATTTTTGTGTCGGGGAAACCACTATGGACACAAGAATATTTTTGTGTAGGTCATTTACTTGTATCATGCTTAATAACTCCTGTCATGGTGTGAATTCCATTTATAACGTAATGACTGATAGCAACCAGGTTGTGTGTATTTATACACCCTGTTCTACATGACACTCCATGAGAACATCGTTCCCCACAGTGTAAAATATAACAAAATAAAACTCCAGCATGATAATTCATCTGAGGTGCTACTCCAAATATGCATACCACATACATCATACTCTTGCTTAGAGCCCTATATATGTGCACAGTTCTAAATGTCATAAAGAAAAAAATGTCTCCCCGAATCCCCCTCCCTAAAGTTATGTATGTATGCATTGCCGTTCAGTCCTTTTAGTTATGTTTACGTTTAAGGGGGGATACAGGCGCTAATTGCTAAATGCTAATATAAATACTGAAACTAACTAGACTATATACTATATCCACTACATACTAATTGCTAAATGCTAATATAGATACTGAAACTAACTAGACTATATATAGTATATACACTACATACTAATTGCTAAATGCCAATATTAATACTGAAACTAACTAGACTATATACACTACATACTAATTGCTAAATGCTAATATTAATACTGAAGCTAACTAGACTATATACTATATACACTACATACTAATTGCTAAATGCTAATATCAATACTGAAACTAACTAGACTATATACACTACATACTAATTGCTAAATGCTAATATTAATACTGAAACTAACTAGACTTTATACACTACATACTAATTGCTAAATGCTAATATTTATACTGAAACTAATTAGACTATACTGTATACACTACATACTAATTGCTAAATGCTAATATTAATTCTCTCAGTGAGCTAGCACTATAAAAGGCTATATGACGGCGGTCTGTAAAAAATCGTGCCTGGACCAGACAATCCAGTAATTGACATCATGAGGATCGATCCATGATCCACGCAATTGGGAAACGATGACATGCATCAACCAAGTCAGCGAGCCTGACCTATTCTAACCCGGATCGTAACAGATTTTTCAGTTTAAATGCAGTTGTTTGTTTCTGTCCAAATAATATATTTTCTGAGGCAAAGTGTAAGTCTAGTGAGCTAGCCCAAGGCGCCCAAACTCGCTACTGAGGAGACTGACGTGTTGTACTATAGAGGGTATCTCTCGTCAACGTCCTGTGTTCACTAATGTAATGCCAGAGTAACACGCTCCTTCAGCTCTTACACTGACAATCCTCTATGTAATGCCAGAGTAACACGCTCCTTCAGCTCTTACACTGACAATCCTCTATGTAATGCCAGAGTAACACGCTCCTTCAGCTCTTACACTGACAGTCCTCTATGTAATGCCAGAGTAACACGCTCCTTCAGCTCTTACACTGACAATCCTCTATGTAATGCCAGGGTAACACGCTCCTTCAGCTCTTACACTGACAATCCTCTATGTAATGCCAGAGTAACACGCTCCTTCAGCTCTTACACTGACAATCCTCTATGTAATGCCAGAGTAACACGCTCCTTCAGCTCTTACACTGACAATCCTCTATGTAATGCCAGAGTAACACGCTCCTTCAGCTCTTACACTGACAATCCTCTATGTAATGCCAGAGTAACATGCTCCTTCAGCTCTTACACTGACAGTCCTCTATGTAATGCCAGAGTAACACGCTCCTTCAGCTCTTACACTGACAATCCTCTATGTAATGCCAGAGTAACCAGCTCCTTCAGCTCTTACACTGACAGTCCTCTATGTAATGCCAGAGTAACACGCTCCTTCAGCTCTTACACTGACAATCCTCTATGTAATGCCAGAGTAACACGCTCCTTCAGCTCTTACACTGACAGTCCTCTATGTAATGCCAGAGTAACACGCTCCTTCAGCTCTTACACTGACAGTCCTCTATGTAATGCCAGAGTAACACGCTCCTTCAGCTCTTACACTGACAATCCTCTATGTAATGCCAGAGTAACACGCTCCTTCAGCTCTTACACTGACAATCCTCTATGTAATGCCAGAGTAACACGCTCCTTCAGCTCTTACACTGACAGTCCTCTATGTAATGCCAGAGTAACACGCTCCTTCAGCTCTTACACTGACAGTCCTCTATGTAATGCCAGAGTAACACGCTCCTTCAGCTCTTACACTGACAGTCCTCTATGTAATGCCAGAGTAACACGCTCCTTCAGCTCTTACACTGACAATCCTCTATGTAATGCCAGAGTAACACGCTCCTTCAGCTCTTACACTGACAGTCCTCTATGTAATGCCAGAGTAACACGCTCCTTCAGCTCTTACACTGACAGTCCTCTATGTAATGCCAGAGTAACACGCTCCTTCAGCTCTTACACTGACAGTCCTCTATGTAATGCCAGAGTAACACGCTCCTTCAGCTCTTTCACTGACAATCCTCTATGTAATGCCAGAGTAACACGCTCCTTCAGCTCTTACACTGACAATCCTCTATGTAATGCCAGAGTAACACGCTCCTTCAGCTCTTACACTGACAATCCTCTATGTAATGCCAGAGTAACACGCTCCTTCAGCTCTTACACTGACAGTCCTCTATGTAATGCCAGAGTAACACGCTCCTTCAGCTCTTACACTGACAATCCTCTATGTAATGCCAGAGTAACACGCTCCTTCAGCTCTTACACTGACAGTCCTCCAATGATAAGTTTTGTTCGAAACGGGGCGGTCGGGGAGCCTAGTGGTTAAAGCGTTCGCTCGTCACGCCGAAGTCCCGGGTTCGATTCCCGACATGGGTACAATGTGTGAAGCCAATTTCTGGTGTCCCCCGCCATAAAATTGCTGGAATATTGCTAAAAGCGGCGTAAAACCATACTCACTCACTCAATTTGTTCTAAACGAATGTCAGACCTGCGTTTCTTTGCTGTTTGGTAGATTAGGAATACAAAATGTGTATTGAACTCGCCAAAGGCTTGCATATCACAATGTCATTCCTTAAATATGGCGTTTACGACACACTCGGCTAACATTGTCTGTATTAATTGGAAGTTTTAAACCGCAAATATTGAAGTAAGTTAATTCTAATTGAAACTTTGAACAAAATTTGGTACCACTAAATACGTGTTTCTATGTTCGAGGAAGAGTAAGAAATCTTTGCTAGCGATAACAACCATGTTCAAGGAAAAAGCTGAAGCCACCTGAAAATTTACACATGCACAAAAGTTAAGGGCCACCCTCCATATTTGTGAGCTGTTACTTTTGGCACTTAATGATGACTATTATAACGAGATGTACGATTGTTATAAGCCGTATATGTAAACCTCATGTGATGCAAAAGTTGTCCCAAAGCAAGTTTATCTTGTGTTCCAAAAGAATATGAGCAGAAAGGAATTTTACCGAAGACCAGAAATTGAAGGATTCGAAAACATTGAAAAACTTTTTTGTCATGTAACAGTCATGATATCAGAAGACCATATCAGGTGTCACATAGATACCCTAGGGAGTGCAGAGTCTATTGCAAGACAGAAACGTCAGTAACGGGTGTATGACCCACGGACATTGACCACAGCTTCAACCCTACGCCTCATACTCATTACACGTCGTTGAATGCTTCTCTGAGGCAAACGGATCCATTCTTCATGAAGTGCGGCTTCAAGTCCAGCGAGATGTCTGATATTCCGGCCAAGAATGTCCCAGAGATGCTCAATCGGATTAAGATCCGGACTACAAGTCGGCCAAGGAAGAGTGGCAATAGCTTCTTGACGCAAAAAAGGCAAAACTGCCCGAGATCTGTATGGTCTAGTATTGTCGTCCATGTAAACAGGTCTTGTCTGAAGAGGATCGTTGTCAAAATGAGAGACTACCACTGGACGAAGAACGGCATCTTGGTATTGTTGGCCATTCAGGTTTCTACGAATTGTCATCAGCGAAAGTTTGCAACCGAAGGAAACACAACCCCATATCATGACAGACCCCCCGCCACATGCTAAGGTCTTCTGGATGTTCCTTGGTGCAAAACGAGTATTACGTTGCCTCCAAACACGTATTCGACCACCAACAGTTCGTAGCAGCATTCGACACTCGTCAGACCAATGGATCCTTCTCCAGTTGGCCAAGTTCCATCGACTACGGGCACGACACCATATCAGACGATTCCGCATGTGCCTCTCAGTCAGTTGAGGACGTTGTACTGGTCTTTTGGCGTTATAACCAGTCGCTCTGAGGCGACCCCTTACGGTCATCGTCGAGAATCTCTGAATGGTAATCCACTGCAGTCTTAAATCTGTTGAAGTGGCAAACGGATGTCGTCTGACTATCCTGAAAAGACGTCTATCCTCTCTGTTAGAGGTCTTTCTTGGCCTACCAGACCTATGTCTGTCATTGACATCATTGGTTTGACCATGTTTGACAATCAAACGAGTGGTAACACTGTGATGACGACCCATTTGTCTTGCAATGGCCCTGCATGACATGCCAGCATTTTTCACGCCTATCACTTGTCACCTTTCAGCATTCGTTAACTTTCTCCTCACCATGGCTGATTTTCAACCTCTATTGGAAGGGGAATCTCACACAGGAGCAAAATGCAACCACGTGTCTGAAACTTGAATTTCACTATTTATAGGGTAGGGAAACTGCAGCAACACGTTAAGCACGCTTTCCTTGTGGTATCTGGACAAATTTGGGTTCATGAAACTACGGAAGCCTTATTCAGTCATACATCATCATATTTCGTATTTCTGATTCCCACACGTAAAATCAAGAGACTATGAATAT